AAGTATTTTAAACTGTATAAAAAAAATTGAAATCAATTGTGAAAATCCATTCCTTATATAGGACGTTCTCTCCTGTTGGTATTCATGGTATCCATGAATACAAACCCTATTTAGGACATGATTTTTTAGAAATAAAGAGAATTTTGTAGATGATAACAAAAGAGTATAATCATATTATTTATTTCAATAATTTGGTATTTAATACTCAATGATAAATATCAAGAGTTAATTTTTGTTTTTCTGCACAAACAACATTCTTTTTAGAAATGGAAGAGTAAAGTAGAAGAACTGGAGAGGGAGATTATTATACTTACAAAAAAATTAAAAAATTCAGAAGCTGCAGGTAAAAATCTCATAGCATAAATATTGGATTGGGATCTAATAAATATGCATAAATTAATTTGTTCCATTTATCTATATGTATATTTGAAGAATTGTCTATTATATTGTTCGTAACCTTAACTAACCTGTACCATTTTTTTTTTGATCCTCTTCCTTTTTTAATTAAATATGTGACCCTGTTCATTCTCCTCTTCATTTGTTCTGGATATGTTGATTGTTTTGGTTATGAATATATAATATTACTCTATAGTTGTGGAAACTTGTATAATTAAATTATCATATTTGAAAAAATGAAAACTGTTTAAGTAAATATAAATAGGGCAAACAATAAAGACTAGTGCTGTAATCCAAAAAAGGAAAAAGTATGGTTGCAAAAGTGGTCACAAAGGTAATTGCAACCACTTTTTATGTGCCATAAATACAATTACTACCACCATCATAATTTACAGCACTAGTCTTTAGCAAACAAGGATCCAATAAACTACTTTACAGCACTGGGATTGAAACATCTTGAATTTGTTATTAAAACAGAAAAAAATGTGATTCAAGTGACAGAAGATACTCAATTAATGAACATCATATCAACCACACCACAAGTGCCCATTTTAATTTTTCATACAAGTAAGTAACATTAGATCTGGCATTTTACAGTTTTTGTTATATATTAATGATTGAAAAATCATTTTTTTAGTGGCACGGCCTTTTTCCAGTTATACCAGAAGCCTCAAATCTGTTTAACCTTAAAGCAGACAGCATGGGAGTATGTCCAGTTTATCATCAAGGGATGGCAGACTTGGTTGGCATGGATTGTTACATTAATGAAACTGTTTGGGACCTTATGGTAACTTTGATAATTTATTTCTTACTCACTAGATATATTATCTAATTATATGATATTTTATTAGTGTTTACACAGAGCATATGGTGATGTTTCTGGAACAAATGAAGCACTATATTCCGTTTTTATAAGAGCTGTTCTTGTTGGAATCATCCACACTTATAACCCTGCAGACAATTATTTACTTCTTGAACAAAAGGTAATTATGGGAAGTTATGGAATGGGCCTGTTGATTTTGCAATCAAAAAAGGAAACCAGTTTATTGGTATAACAGAGACAAAAAAAGAAGCCATTAGCAAGGGTTTTGCACAAAACTTGATCCAGTTGCATGCTTCTTATATGGCCAGTTTTTATATTTTCTTGTAACAATATATTTTTGATGATTCCTTATTATTATGTTTGCATTTATTTATTTATTAGGAAAATCAAAAAAGAAAAGATAATGAGGAAACTGATGGGTTACAAGTTCTATTTGGAATTGATTCCACAGATTTTTTCATCATTTAATTCATGAACCTAATAAAAAGTATCCAATCGTTCAGAGAAGTTCTCTTCCACCCATCAATCTATCTGTAATTGGTCATGAATTTGATGAAAAAAAGGTAAAAGAGGAAGTTTCTGCATTATTCAGTTATTTAAAATGGTCTATGGATTTGTTTGTTGAGATTTCATATATGGATGTTTCAAATGCTAAAAGGCAAAATTAAATATTTAAGTATTAGTTTATGCACATAATATAATTAGAAATATATTTATATTGCAAATGATAAAAATGTCTAATTCATAAATATTTGCATATTATATAACTTAAAAAATAATAATTAACTTGTAGAAAATTTAAATAATAAAAAATGTTGAAATATTTAATATGAATCTAAAAACTATTTTCAGTGATAATTGTAATTGCCAATTTTGAACCCTGAAATCTCTAAAGAGACATAATATTAATATTCACTTTGTCTGGTTTTGTTGCAGTATGCCCCATTCCAAATTTTGGTCAAAATTAAACATACTAGGAAATTTTAGACTATAATTTTAAATAAAACAAGTTATAATAGGGATGTTAATCAGTCCTTTGGGACTGGGTCCCAAAAAGTCTGGGACTGAACTGTTTCAGGTTCGGTCCTACCATTTGGGACTTAGAGTCCCTATAAGTCCGTGTGTAACATAAATATTTAAAAAAAAATTTCACATGATATATGGGGTCTGTACTAGGAAAATCAAGCTTCCAGCTATTTTTTTTTTTTTTTATCTTTTTACTCAATAATAATCTCTAATAAAGGATTTACAGTTGGTGAAAAAATTGGACCCTATTTGCATAATAGAAATGAGATACAAGGCTTGTAATATTTTCTTTGTATATTAAAAACATATGTGTAACCAAATTTATAAGGGTTGTTACCAAAAATAGATTTTTTGTCTGGAAGGTCGATTTTCCTAGTACAGACCCCATATATATTTTTTCAAAATGTCATCATCAATTGAAAATAGCTTTGAAATCAATGATGAATTTAATCTTTACAAACCAAACTGAAGCACAACAACAATCACAACCTTTTGTTTTTATTAATGCCAATGATGAAAATATTGATGATATATTGTATTCAGAAAAATATAATTTATCTTTAGAAGTCGCATCAATAAATTCAACATCAACATGTAGTTATTTTAAAAGATCATTTCAAAATCACTATAATCAATCAACTTCAAACAATGAATTTATCAAAAGATATTTAGAAATGCCAGAAGAAGTAAAATTGCCTGGATTGGTACTCTACAAGATTTAAAGATGATTTTTTCTCAATCAATCAACTAGTGTGTCAAGTGAGTCAGCTTTAGCATAGCTAAACACACACTAAGTCCAGTTTGTAATATATTGGATCCTGAAAAGGTATGAGCAAGTTTTTGCCTTAAAAGTTGGATTGAAGCAAAGATTGTTTCAATATAAAATATGTTAAATATATTTTAAATTTTTAATATATTTTAAAATTTTTTTTAATATAATTTTTTAATATAATTTTTTTACATTTACAAACATTTATAATAATATATATAAAATATATAAATAAAAATAAAGATATATAATAAAAATATATAATAGATATACTGTTTGAAAAAAAGTTGAGGACTTTTTGGGGCTTTTTCTAGGACTTTTTCTAGGACTTTAAGCCCCAGGACCGGACCGGACTGTTCGGGACTGATTAGCATTTCTCTCTAGTTAATAATAAATTCCAAATTTTCTGAATATCATTTATTAATAAGAAATTTTTTTTTGGGTCATCCTATATACAGAAAGGTTCTTTTTATGAAATATACAGAACCTACGTGACAAATAAGAATTTATTTTTGGAGTTGGTAAGCATTCCATAACTCCTACCACCCCAAGCCTCACAAGTTTAATCGTCACATACAAATAACTGTCACGAGGATGTTACAAAAATTTGAGCCATTTCCTTTTTTATAGAATAAATTTCCATTTTTGGTAGGGTACTGTATATTTCAAAAAAAGAACCTTACTGTATATAGGATATTCCTTTTTTTTTTGGATTTTTGTTTTTTGGTTTTACCCCTTGATTTTATTAATTATAATTTAAATTAAAATTCTTGTTTCAACAGATTTTATATTTAAATTGCATTTCAACAGACAAAGGATAATAATAAGTACTAATCGGATTCACGTGATATAGATTTTATTAAAAAAAAAAACATTACTATGTTAAGATTAATTCATTGCTAAATAATAACATAAACAAATTGAATGATTCTTGACAATATCAGTATGATTTTACATGAATAATTCTCACATTACTAAAATAATAATATTAATCAAAATTTTCCATAATAATTTTACACGAATAATTAAACACACATTACCATTGATCAAAATTTTTCATATTTCCAAATAACGATTTTACACGAATAATTAACTAAATAATAATATTAATCAAATTTTCCATATTTCTAAATAATGATTTTACACAAATAATTAAACACACATCACTAAATAATAATATTAATTAAATTTTCCTTTCTAAACTGATAATAAATAAATATCTTCTAATAATTCTACATAATCAACATTTTCTTTGATTTCTTTAAATTAAT